AGGTGAAACCTATGTGGAAAACGGTTGCTTTCTGCCAGGAACTTATTATACATATAAGAGTAATTGGGTGCCTCAATTACGAATACGAGACTTGTTTTCGGCGCAAAGCCACGGCGACTGTGACTCCACCAAGTAAGCTCGTCTCAGTAACGTTTTTTGCCAACTTTGAAATGCTCGTAACTTTCTTATAAAGTTCACGTAGCAGTTTTAATGTCCATATTTGTAATCAGCGTTGAAGACTCTATCGATACGTCTAGGACCCTTTCCGAAGTAGTATGGAAAGTTCAAAGCATTCCCGGTCAGATGACTTGAGTATTGCGTGTGTAAACTAGTATATGTGTGCATAATGCATAGCATTCCTTTACCGCCATCGCTGAAAGTGAAGTCATCGAATTTTCATGGCTGCAGCCTTACATTTACGTTCACTTAAATATATGGTCAGACTGCGGCCTCAATGGATAGCGAGGAAGTACGAGAAGCATTGAAATCACTTCAAAAGGAGTGCCAGGCGAGTCGTTAAGTAGTTTTGCTTTCATATTCACTCTTCTTTGAAATGACGATTGATTGTTGTTGAAGATAGATTGTCTAATGCTTCACATTGACGCTTTTTTGACTTTGAACTCTTCCCTGTTATGCTAAAATTGTGACGTTTTTTTTCTGATATTATAAGAAATCGTTCCCCGCGGTGGAGAGGAGAGCGGGCGTGGGCAGGCGGGGGATGGAGGAGTAACAAGGGCGACACGCAGTGAGTCCTTACGATAGCATGAAGGGGCGCGCCCCGAAGGGGCCGCAGGCCAACCAGCGGACCCGGGCAGCCGCGGGTGTGTAAAATGTTGGTGAAAATTCTGTTCACGCCGTTCCATGTGACCCAATGCTTTCAGGTGAGTTTTTGCCTTTTCATTACAATCTATCTATGACTAGCACGGCTTACAGAAATGTTTATTAAGAGCTAATTTATATAGAATTTTAGAATGTGCCAGCATATTAATTGGGGTTTTGCATTATTAGGCTGAAGATTAATTACTAATCAGGACTTCTTCGTCTTCTCATAGCCCTCAGATATGGGAAGGGGTTTGAAGTGTATCGAAAATTCTCTTGGACACTTAAACTTTTAGAGGTTTTGCCCTCCTTCCCTTTAAAACCCGAGTTCCCCTCCAAATTTGGAATTCTCTTGAAAACAATATACAGTATGAAAGCCTAGAACTGCAGTTATATCTGGTATACTGTTAAAGTCAAAAATTCTATAGAAAAACTGCTTTGAGGGACAATTTTGCCCAATTGTGAGCGAGAGTTGGGCGCGCCAAAAAGAGGCGTGGTCCCATGAGCAAGCTACGTGCAAATCCGCATTGTCGTCAAAGGGTTACTAAATTTTTCTAGGCATCCCTCTGTTGCCTGCAATGGTCGGTCGCATTGAGCTGGAAAAGGAAGAAGCACGAGCGACCGCTAGCACTGAACACACTGCTGACACAGAAATGAATGTCACTCTTCCGATGGTGCAGCGAGCACAGTGATTCTTGTCTCCTAGCCACCAATTTTGGTATATTGCCACTGATATCTCTTCTTAGGATGGCGTTTTGTTTTCTCATTTGTCCATGTAGTTGGTATCGATTACCAAACTGCAACGCTTGGGGTTTGCTTGGATGATCTCCTATCGCTTCGATAATTAGTTTCAAATTGTTGGACAGTTTTATAACCCAGTCCTTTGAAATATTTTCATAGAATGTCTGATACTCACTCACTTTGAAAATATTGTTGTACACAGATCTTGTTTCCTATTATGTTGTTGATACTCAATCCATATAAAGAAGATTACATTTAATTTGTTCAGTTGCTATAAAATGGGTCTTTGCCAGAGTATTGTCTTTTACCCACTACCTTATAGATGTTAATCATTCAGTGCTACAAAATTAGGGAAGAAACCTCGATGGGTGATGGCTCCGTCACCACTTCCGCAGGCCCATCATGGTGGTCGTTGTCCTACTGGGCTGGGAGGAACCAGCATAGACCCCTATCAGTGAAGGAGAATGCAGAATCGAGTGCTGCCACATCTGCAAATTTGGTGAGGCTGAGTTCCCTAAATTTCTTTCTTTTCTCTTGACTTTTTGAGTCGTTGTGGTCATGCAATGAGACGTCTTTCAGCAGAATGCGCCGTCTGCTTCGGAAGTACCGCAAACGACGGTATGCCCCGAAGTTAGTACTGAAGAATTATCTGGTTATGAAAGGTTGCGATTATTATATACGAGACCAAGCATGGAACGGGATTGTACACTTAGGGTGAGTTGGAACTCAAGTTGCAATTGGTTTCTCCTCAGAAATGCATCCTCTCATTCAGATCACGCGTATGGCATTTCTGAGTGGATTTTTCCTAGGTGGGATCTCGACGTACGCGCAAGCGAGCGAAACATTTGAAAGGAGCAATGTCGGTCGCAAATACTTGAGTCCTAGCGATGCATTTGTAGGTGATTTTATTAGTAGCCGTTATTTTTCGTATCGTATCCAAACCATTCCAGAAACGCCGAATGGATTATGGGATCGTACGGTTCGCAAAAACTGGATTCCCTATGGGTCTCAAGTGCGCAGTCATCTCTGGGAGTATTGTGTATGTTTTAGAATATTTTGAATGCTTGTAAAAACGCTTTTCATTGGTAGGTAGAATCGGTAACTGCTCGGTGGGTTACTACTTGAACTTTCTTCCATGTTCTCTGTGTACGAGGCTAAAGCGCAGCCGGGTAGAGGGCAGCTGAGGTTTCAGCTTTGAGCATGCTGGCAAGAGAGTGTGAAGCTGGAGGAATGCAGGAGACCAAAGGGTGGGGGTGGATTAGCCACTCGACGTTGTGCAAAAGCTAGAGCGAGATTACCGCAGTCACGAGCCTCTATTTAGGGGAGAGCACTAGAGGGAGCACATTGACAATTTTTGAAGCACCTTGCTCAAATAGCACGTGTTCTGCTCGAAAGGGAATGGGAGCACTAGTGGAGATTTTGAGTATTCTCTCTACACTTCTTGGTAAGAGTTCCTGGTCCCATTTTTCTGTTACAGTAACACTCCCCAACAAGACTTAGCGGAGTGGTATGCCGTCACAGAAAATTACTTACGACATCCTCGTGATTTTCTTCTTCTTCTCCCTAGCGCCAGTCCCGCGCAGTTGCAGGGTCCCTTCGAGCGTTCTGGAGCACCTTCGATGATCCTGCTCATAGCGGAGACATAGTCCTTGGCATAGAGCTTGGATATTCCTGCGCGTCATCAGATCAGCAACCTCTCGGGACTTCCCAGTTAGCGATCCTACGTTCAGAGTCCCAATTCGAACTAGCTTCTTTGGCCGAGGCCGTTCACTCCTCGGTAGCCCTCGCATACTGACCACAGAACTCGGGCGGGGGTTCTGCGCGCCACTTCCGGGTGACGTCCTAGCTTTATCACTGATTCTTTTTCGACTTTTAGACATGTTTGGTGTGACTGGGGTTTCATCAGCCGGCCTGTCAACCTGGGCCTGACGCTGGTACTAGAACCATTTTTGCAATTTTTGCAAGGCATGGTTAAGCCTCGGCAGGGATCGAACTCGCGGTTTTTCAGAGGTGCAGACATGAGTCTAACCTCTTAACCACTCGGCTATCTCCTGTCAATGAAATGCCTCATTTTCAGACTGTTGACAACCCATTTGGCTGCCTACCGACAACGGTTCTCATCGTGGTACTTCCCAGCCCTTTCAGGTGCGCTCGCGGTCGCCCTGCATGAAGGTAGTCGTGTGTTTACCATTTCTCATTATTGTCAGATTCATATTTATAGCATTAGTTGGTGGAGTGTTCACGTTTCCACTTGGTGTCATCGGTTCGATAAAAGCTGTGGGCCTAGGAGTCACTTCAGGGTTTGTTCAGTTGTGCCTTTATCTTTGCTCTATTTTCGGTCATCATTTCATATGTTTGAAATTCCCACTAGAAACTGCACTTGCAATGCCTATGAGATGGTTATGCTCAGACATATGCTGTAGAAAACGTGTTTAGACTGACTTTGACTGCCATTGTTCATTTATACGCCCTAAGTGTGGACAAGCCCGTTAATGAGGCATACTGGACCTTCAAGAGGGATTACGAGAAGGTAAGTATCAAGCAGACTTTTTGTCCAAACTGGTTGTGATCTCTCATTCGTATTCGTTACTTAGGATCTTCGCTTGGCTCGGGAGTGGGATGAACGAGTGAGAGAATTAATGAAAGCGGAAAAGATCTGGTGGAAAGGAACTGCAGCGCAGAAGTTGAAGAAGCTTGACGAGGAGAAAATTGGCCTCACCAAGACGCCTAACTTTTGTATACTCAAGGATTTTACGTTAGTTCTCACCCCATGGAATCACCGAAACTCTCCAAAAGTTTGGAGCTATCATTAGGAACGAAAACTTTTCCAGCATGTTTCATTTACATTGTCGTACTTTCTGACTGGATGGTCATTGTTGGTGCCTTTTACCTTTAGCGTGTAGGTTATATCTGCGTTGGTCGTTAGTCGTCGGTATCGTTATCTCATTTGTTATATAGTTTAGAAATTGTAATAGCTTAGAGTGTAGACGTAGGCGTTATCCTTTTTCTCGCTCCCGCTCTTATGCGATGATTGTTATTTTTAAATTTCTGCTGGTTGTTGTTCGCATAGACTTCAGCTTACTAATTAACTGAAACTTGTTTTGTTGTGCATTCGAACCTCAAGGATATCATGTTTTCATGTTCTCAAATTTTTTATAAACTGCTTTGAATGTTCAAGGAGCAGCGAGATTGTTTGTACAACGGGAGCGGCTGCGCACCTTCATAAATGTGTAGGCTGAAGGGAGGAGGGGGTGGCCGCAGTAGCCGGCTGTATATGACGGAAGGGCCAAGTGTCTTGAGGAAACATTACCGTCGT